TGTTCCTGCATCATTTCCCATGTTGAAGAGTCTTTAGAAAGGATGTCACTTTTTTGGGCGCAGAACAGTTTTAATGGATGGGAAAGATTTGTCTTTTCGCTCAGTTTTTAGTGAAGTTTTTTGCTATTTTGTGCTGGGGATTGTTGTTCGGTCGTTTACAGTTTCTCTGTTAGGGTATTCATCTTCTCTTGCCCTCAATGGCTAAAGCTCTGGAGACCAGAAGCTGCCTCCAACTCATGGATTGGTGTGCTTCTCATACCTCCAGTGATGATTCTGAGACCAGTGTTCTGTATTTTATCCAGTTTGTGTAGGTTTGATTCGGCTGCAGTGGAGTAAGCTCCCATGCCATACTCCAGATTTGGTCGTACGTGTCCTGTGTTTAGTTGCTGTCCTGTGTTTAGTTGTCGTCCTGTGTTTAGTTGTCGTCCTGTGTTGGCATTTGGACCCCAGCTTGTTCCAGTAAGTTTATTCTTAAATCTGAGCCACATGGTAGCTTTCCTTTAGGTGTCTTCAGTGTTGGTCCCAGGTAAGCCTTTTGTCAATTTTACTCCCGGATATGTTGGGTTGTCCTCTTTTGAAAGAATGTTGCCTTCTAGGTACAGATCAACTTGTTCTGGCTTTGTGGAAAGAGAGAAGACAGTTGAGACGGTTTTGGTCTGGTTTATTGTAACTCCCCAAGAGTCTGTCCATTTGTTAACTATTTATAGCTTCCTGCATTCTTGTTTTAGTTGTTCCTATATTTTCAGCTTGGGTCCATATGGCCAGGTCATCTGCATGTAGGGCTTTGTGAATGTGAGTTGTGAGCTGTTTGGGGAGGTCATTGATGTCAGGAACCTTATTTCTGCCCTGAAGGTTATGTTGATTGTTTTTTTAGTCTGGTGAGGCTAAAGTAAACACATCAGTCTTTAATGTACAGAACAATAAACAATAGTTTCAGGCCATCAGAGTTGCTGCTTGCTTTCCTTGAAGTAGATTTCCTTCTTGTTGGTCAACTGTTTTCCTCTGAGATGCACTATCATCATTCAGTGCTTTTGTCAGTCTCTACTGTTTGTTTGTATCTCTTTTTCATGTTCAGAGAGGCAAACTTTTCTTTCCAGGATTTTATACACTGTGACCAGTCAGTCTTTTCATTGTGTCTCCTTCCTCTAGGAATTGCTTTCTTTGCTGCATTAAGTATAATTTTGTTGAATTCTTGTGCATCTTTTCTGCCTTACCTGACAGGTTGATTACCTTGCAATTCAAGTCTACAAGTTCTTGAAATAATTTCCAGTGTGCCTTTTTGAATTTTAACTTGATGCAGTATCTGGAGATTTTCATTTTGATGTAGTTTGTGGTCACTACAGCTTAACTCGGTGTTGTCAGCCTTTCTAATGCTGCGACCCTTTAATACAGTTCCTTCATGTTGTGGCAAGAAGAGTCGCGTTCGGCAGGTTGAGAACCGCTGGCATAACTGGTCACACACTTGTCTGACAGATATCTTGTAGATGTCATTTGTTGTAATTGCCAGATCAGGTGTGCTTATTGTGCGCCACTGGCTAGTGTTGTTTGTGGGTCATCAGGGTGATTGATTAGCGGGAGATTAGCCACTGCTAAAGATTTTCTCCACAAAAGCCTAAAGTGTCATCATCTCAGCTGAGTCAAGGACTAGTCACATCTCCTGCAATCAGCAGGTTGCTATCTTCAAAGTATATCAGGATCCTGGCTGGTGCAACAGAGTTCGTGCACTGCGCTGAAATTCTTAAGACTCATGCTTGAGTTAGAATTAGAACGGAGCACTTATAGGTTACACACGTGTTCTATGATGTTTATCCATCGAATAAACTATAAATTATATTGAACCTTTATATCACATTTACTCTACAGATCAATAAAGCATGTATGGACAGGTCTACTGGTTTTCCTTATTGCTTCCCACGGATTCAAAACTTACATGCGTAATTTTGATTGGTAAAGCCAAGTTAAGATATTTTTAATTGTTGATAGTATTCACCATCATTGTCCTGTTGTACAATTTTTATGTCTCTTAGAAGACATTCATCATCATCATTGCCCTGTTGTAACATTTTACATCACAAAGAAGACGCTCATTATCATCATCATTGTCCTGTTGTAACATTTTTATGTCACATAGAAGATCATCATTGTCCTGTTGTAACATTTTATGTCACATAGAAGATCATCATTGTAACATTTTTATGTCACATAGAAGATCATCATTGTCCTGTTGTAACATTTTTATGTCACATAGAAGATCATCATTGTCCTGTTGTAACATTTTTATGTCACATAGAAGATCATCATTGTAACATTTTTATGTCACATAGAAGATCATCATTGTCCTGTTGTAACATTTTTATGTCACATAGAAGATCATCATTGTCCTGTTGTAAAATTTTTATGTCACATAGAAGATCATCATTGTCCTGTTGTAACATTTTTATGTCACATAGAAGATCATCATTGTCCTGTTGTAACATTTTTACAACACAAAGGAAACATTCATAAATCATCATCATCTTGTTATATAAGTTTTAGTTTGTAATGTTTCTTCCATTTTTTTCTACCCTATGCAGTATTTTTGATATTGTGGATTGAATCCAGGACAGTAGCATTTTTCTTCTTGATCTGTTGCTCCTGATCATAGAACTGAGTCTAGTCCCAGAACAAGTCCTCCTATCTTTTGCTGATCCCATGTCATCCACATCTTTTTCACTTCTGTTTATTTATCTGTTATTTTGGTCTGCCTTTATTCCTGTTACACTATGCAAGAACATTCTAGTTATATCATCAGTTGTTTTCACCATGTTTTCTGGCAGTGTCACTATTGTTTTCTCATCTCTTCATTCACTGACATTCATTTAGTTCTCCACAAAATTTTTACATTAGTGATTCTGTCACCCCATTTATTTATTTCTTTTCTCTGCAGGCACTAGTTAATGTTTTTTTTTTTTTATTTTTTTTTTTTTTTTTTTGGTCAGCTGGTGGTATCAGCAATCATGCAACTACAAAAAGGCTCCTTTTGGGGGTACATCCTGTGTAGAGAATTACCAAACAAGCTTTGAAATGAGAATAAAAATGGATTGAGGAAACGAGAATGGCTATGTGAAACTCTGAAATGAAAACTGATGAGAGAGGCCCGAGATGCTGAAAGGATGATACAGGATAAAATAGTATAGAGGAATAGGCTGTGATCCCTATCTGACATACAAATGGCATGTAATAGTTTAATAATAATTGTTTTAGCTGTTCTCCTGTTTCAGCTTTAGACAACAGTCCTGATCTGATCTAAAACTAAAACATTTGATGCTAGTTTTCATTTCCTGTAATTACCACATAATTCCTAGTGCTGTTCAAACTTATCTTGACTTTTGAGTTTACATTTTAAGATATGTGACTGTTCTCTGTTCACCCATCTTTATCTACATTACTGCCTGTATAAGTGTTTGACTTCCCATTTTGTTTACTTGGTTTTTCTTGTTTTTGTCTTTCCCCTTTAGATTTAGACCAAATTGTTGTGATCTTCACCAACATTTGCCCAGCAAATTTTGCAATTTTTTTTTCTAACATCTGTTGATTTAAGTAGTTAGTTATTGCCTTTATTGATTGCCTTTCTTGAATTGATCCTGTTTAATGTTCATTAGGTTTCTCAGGCATTTTTTTTTTAAATGCATTTGACTTTCTTTAAGATGTTGAATTTGAAATATTAGAATTAAAAATATGTAATTTGTTTTAAAACTGTATATTTATAGTTCTTACTGTATTCATATTTTTTCAAGCTGCTGTTGCCTTGCCAAATAGATAAAATCCCTTTTCTCTCTAGTGTGACATCTGCTCACTCTGTTATTGATGGCTTCAGTATACCTGTCTTTCAAATAATAATTTGTTATCCAACATTTGATGCATATTTTCAGAATCATCTGTTTTTGGTTGCATGTCATTGCTAGCTTACCTAACAGAACAGTATCGTCTGCACAATCAAGATCCTCCAGTCAACGTTCTTCAACTGGTCGATGCCAGAGTTTCCTCTACATGTTTTCATCACCTGGTCAATGGGTGGTCTGCCAAATAACATCGATATGTTACAGTCTTGTTTCACTCTAGTCTTTTAAACATTAGTCGATAACATGCATGCCGCAGTTTGTTTATTTTTATTGTAATCATGTTGTAACAATTAGTAGTGTGTCTAAAAGAAGCAACAACAACAACAATAATGATTAAAACCACTGTGTTCTACTAAACCTGTTCTAAGAGCTAAGGATGGTTGGCATGTTATTAATTATCCAATCCCATTTTTTTTTAAAATCTAATCAAACATGTAAATGTAATCAAACATGAATACTTTTAAAAGGAAATGAAAAAAGAAGAATTTAACCGAACCCTAACCAAGATTAGAGGAAACTCTTCTCCTAGATTTAATGTGATTCAGTGTGGACAAGTCTGGTTTGCTAGCTAATATCTTTTACCTAGACTAATAGACAAGTCTGGTTTGCTAGCTAATATCTTTTACCTAGACTAATAGACAAGTCTGGTTTGCTAGCTAACATCTTTTACCTAGAATAATAGACAAGTCTGGTTTGCTAGCTAACATCTTTTACCTAGAATAATAGACAAGTCTGGTTTGCTAGCTAACATCTTTTACCTAGAATAATAGACAAGTCTGGTTTGCTAGCTAACATCTTTTACCTAGAATAATCTCCAGAATTGACACCTGGTATGGTAGACAAATTTTTAAGGTCTGTTAAGAAAGGTATCCCTGTGACCAGAAAAAATACAGTCACACAGCTGAAGGTCTGAAACCCTGTTTCTTTGCAAAGAAGTTTTTTTTTAGACTGCACACACAATTCTTCTAGGGTCCCACCATTCACAGATAAATGACTATTGCTTGATTTCTTTAGAAATCAGATTCACATTTCACATTTCCTATATGTTGCATTATTTGAATGATTGTGCCAGTGAATGTTTGAGTTGCTTTTAAAAGAGATATTAATAATTCACCACAGGGAATCTGAGTATTCCATTTTCCGCTCAGGTTTACGAGTCAATCAAGACAATGCAAAACTCTTCAATAATGTCGGCCATGCACTGGAAAAGGTGCAAAAATTTGCTGAAGCACTGGACTATTTCAAGAAAGCTGCAAGGTAAGTATTTGAAGATTTCTAATAATGTTTAGTCATGTCTTCCTGATGCACCTAGAATCATATTTTATAAATACTTGATCTTGATAGTACATTTACTGATGTGGTCACAGAAACTATGCAGACTACATATGAACTGTAAGGTGTTAGGTCGATATGATATCTGTTGAAGACGATAATGTCCAGGAGTTTAATTCTCTGTCAACCTACACTGAGAGGGTATCATCCAAGTTTTGTCTGGGGTATTACAAGTACAAGGGTGTAGACTGTCTCCACTCTTGTTGATTGTCTGGGGTATTACAAGTACAAGGGTGTAGACTGTCACCACTCTTGTTGATTGTCTGGGGTATTACAAGTACAAGGGTGTAGACTGTCTCCACTCTTGTTGATTGTCTGGGGTATTACAAGTACAAGGGTGTAGACTGTCACCACTCTTGTTGATTGTCTGGGGTATTACAAGTACAAGGGTGTAGACTGTCAAAACTCTTGTTGATTGTCAGGGGTAATACAAGTACAAGGGTGTAGACTGTCACCACTCTTGTTGATTGTCTGGGGTATTACAAGTACAAGGGTGTAGACTGTCACCACTCTTGTTGATTGTCTGGGGTATTACAAGTACAAGGGTGTAGACTGTCACCACTCTTGTTGATTGTCTGGGGTATTACAAGTACAAGGGTGTAGACTGTCACCACTCTTGTTGATTGTCTGGGGTATTACAAGTACAAGGGTGTAGACTGTCTCCACTCTTGTTGATTGTCTGGGGTATTACAAGTACAAGGGTGTAGACTGTCTCCACTCTTGTTGATTGTCTGGGGTATTACAAGTACAAGGGTGTAGACTGTCTCCACTCTTGTTTGTTGTCTGGGATATTACAAGTACAAGGGTGTATACTGTCTCCACTCTTGTTTGTTGTCTGGGGTATTACAAGTACAAGGGTGTAGATTGTCACCACTCTTGTTGATTGTCTGGGGTATTACAAGTACAAGGGTGTAGACTGTCTCCACTCTTGTTGATTGTCTGGGGTATTACAAGTACAAGGGTGTAGACTGTCTCCACTCTTGTTTGTTGTCTGGGATATTACAAGTACAAGGGTGTATACTGTCTCCACTCTTGTTTGTTGTCTGGGGTATTACAAGTACAAGGGTGTAGATTGTCACCACTCTTGTTGATTGTCTGGGGTATTACAAGTACAAGGGTGTAGACTGTCTCCACTCTTGTTGATTGTCTGGGGTATTACAAGAACAAGGGTGTAGACTGTCTCCACTCTTGTTGATTGTCTGGGGTATTACAAGAACAAGGGTGTAGACTGTCTCCACTCTTGTTGATTGTCTGGGGTATTACAAGAACAAGGGTGTAGACTGTCACCACTCTTGTTTGTTGTCTGGGGTATTACAAGTACAAGGGTGTAGACTGTCACCACTCTTGTTTGTTGTCTGGGATATTACAAGAACAAGGGTGTAGACTGTCACCACTCTTGTTTGTTGTCTGGGATATTAGAAGTACAAGGGTGTAGATTGTCACCACTCTTGTTTGTTGTCTGGGATATTACAAGTACAGGGGTGTAGACTGTCTCCACTCTTGTTGATTGTCTGTATGGATAGTGTAGCTACAGAAGCTAACCCCCTGCAGGAGGATATCAATGAGCTGATATTTATCGTAGCCTATTGTACAAACATAAGGATCATCTCCAGCACCACATACACAGCCTCAGCACCTGCTGCAAGAATTTTGCATTGGGAATTGACATCAGAGCACTCAGGACAGTCTCATAAGTGCTCTATCCCCAACTTCAGCAGCAAGCAAAAGTTCAAATTCCTATGGCACTAGTAACTGACTGTATCCGTCTCGCCTTTCCCTTGAGTGTTGAGTGTCGGCCCAATCCTCTCCTCACCCAAATTTCTCAAGCCTGCTTCTTCTTCTGCCTTTCCCATGTCCTCCCCATCTTTTTAACTTGGCTCTCTAGCTGCCTTCTCCATGCAAAGACATTCTAGTTATATTGTTCTCAGGTTTTCTTAGCGTGTGTCCGGTCTTATTAGGTTTTTCTTCACCTCTTGGTCCACAGGAACTTATTTAGTTCTCTTCCAGAGCTCTACATTAGTGATTCTGTCATACCATTTAATCCCTCTATTCTGCGCAGGCACCAGCTAATGAAAATTTATAGTTTATTATTAATTGCCTTAGTTGTTCTCTATGTTTCCGCTCCATACAACAGTACTCACTTAACATTAGAGTTGAAGATTTTTTATTTAGTAATATTTTGTATTTCTTTTGACTGCCACAAATTGCCTAGTGCTATGAAAGCTCCTCTTTTGTATTCATATTTTAATATCTCTATGTGTGACCTCATCTTTATCTACATTACTGCACACAGATCTAATTGTGTCTTCAGCTGGCACCATCCAAGACCTTCCTTCTTTCAGTCTGTTACCCCTAACTCTCCACCCAGGGCTTCATGCAGGAGGTGCTTCTTGCCTGCAGCTACTCTGAGATATGACTCTGCTTGCAGAACTCTGAGCCTATTTGCAGTAGTAGACAGTACAAGAATATATCACATATATACTGCCGCCATATCTTTTGTACATCCCAGAATTACCCGCTGCTGCAAAATATAAATAATACCCCAAAAAAATACTGAATAAAATGAAAAGAAATATTAACAGTAAATAGAACACCAGTTGAATATGTGACTGTTGAAATAGAAACATGAAATCAGGCTAAGGAGTTTAAGTGTCTAAGCAGTGCATTCACTGGCCATGCAGGATTGGATACAGTAATATAAAACAGAATACAGAAGGCTAGCAATATAAATTACCAGATAACGCCTCTTTTGAGGCTTTGTGCTATCAGAGCCAGACTTGAACAGTCATAGAAAAAAGATGAATGCAAAATGCAGTTACCGCCTCCACCTTCATTCTCATGCTAGATATTGTGATGTTGTATGCTAGGCTGTCTTGCACTAAAGATTTTCCACTGGCTTTCTCTACAAACCCCCCAGGCAACACTGAACCATCTAGTTTTAATGGAACAAATACTTAGTGAAGCAATGTGAGTCATTCTGGGCTGTATATGGAACAAATACATAGTGAAGCTGTGTGAGTTATTCTGGGCTGTGTATGGGAACAGATACATAGTGAAGCTATGTGTCTCATTCTGGGCTGTATATGGGAACAGATACATAGTGAAGCTATGGGAGTCATTCTGGGATGTATATGGGAACAAATACATAGTGAAGCTGTGTGTCATTCTGTGCTGTATATGGAACAAATACATAGTGAAGCTGTGTGAGTCATTCTGTGCTGTATATGGAACAGATACATAGTGAAGCTATGGGAGTCATTCTGGGCTGTATATGGAACAGATACATAGTGAAGCTGTGTGAGTAATTCTGTGCTGTATGTGGGAACAAATACATAGTGAAGCTGTGTGAGTCATTCTGTGCTGTATATGGAACAAATACATAGTGAAGCTGTGTGAGTCATTCTGTGCTGTATATGGAACAGATACATAGTAAAGCTGTGTGAGTCATTCTGGGCTGTATATGGAACCAAAAAATAGTGAAGCTATGGGAGTCATTCTGGGCTGTATATGGAACAGATACATAGTGAAGCTATGGGAGTCATTCTGGGCTGTATATGGAACAGATACATAGTGAAGCTATGGGAGTCATTCTGGGCTGTATATGGAACAAATACATAGTGAAGTTGTGTGAGTCATTCTGTGCTGTATATGGAACAAATACATAGTGAAGCTGTGTGAGTCATTCTGTGCTGTATATGGGAACAGATACATAGTAAAGCTGTGTGAGTCATTCTGGGCTGTATATGGGAACAGATACATAGTAAAGCTGTATGAGTCATTCTGGGCTGTATATGGGAACAGATACATAGTAAAGCTGTGTGAGTCATTCTGGGCTGTATATGGGAACAAATACATAGTAAAGCTAAGTGTCTCATTCTGGGCTGTATATGGGAACAAATACATAGTGAATCTATGTTAGTCATTCTGGGTTGTATATAGAACAAATACATAGTGAATCTATGGATATCATTCTGGACTGTAAATGGAAACAAATACATAGTGAAGCTATGTTAGTCATTCTGGGTTGTATATGGGAACAAATACATAGTGAAGCTATGTTAGTCATTCTGGGTTGTATATGGGAACAAATACATAGTGAAGCTATGTTAGTCATTCTGGGTTGTATATAGAACAAATACATAGTGAAGCTATATTAGTCATTCTGGGTTGTATATGGGAACAAATACATAGTGAAGCTATGTTAGTCATTTTGGGTTGTATATAGAACAAATACATAGTGAAGCTATGTTAGTCATTCTGGGTTGTATATGGGAACAAAAACATAGTGAAGCTATGTTAGTCATTCTGGGTTGTATATAGAACAAATACATAGTGAAGCTATGTTAGTCATTCTGGGTTGTATATAGAACAAATACATAGTGAAGCTATGTTAGTCATTCTGGGTTGTATATAGAACAAATACATAGTGAAGCTATGTTAGTCATTCTGGGTTGTATATAGAACAAATACATAGTGAAGCTATGTTAGTCATTCTGGGTTGTATATGGGAACACAAACATAGTGAAGCTATGTTAGTCATTCTGGGTTGTATATGGGAACAAATACATAGTGAAGCTATGTTAGTCATTCTGGGTTGTATATAGAACAAATACATAGTGAAGCTATATTAGTCATTCTGGGTTGTATATAGAACAAATACATAGTGAAGCTATGTTAGTCATTCTGGGTTGTATATAGAACAAATACATAGTGAATCTATGGGAATCATTCTGGGCTGTATATGGGAACAAAAACATAGTGAAGCTATGTTAGTCATTCTGGGTTGTATATGGGAACAAATACATAGTGAATCTATGGGAATCATTCTGGGTTGTATATAGAACAAAAACATAGTGAAGCTATGTTAGTCATTCTGGGTTGTATATAGAACAAATACATAGTGAAGCTATGTTAGTCATTCTGGG